TGCAGAGAGAAAATTACATAAGTGTGATCTAAATATGTCAATTTTCTACTGGTCCAAATTGAATGAGATCGTAAATTACTTAATCATAATGTCCAAAACATCATAACCGAAATAATGATCAAAAGAGTATAAAACAAATATCAAGTGAAGGACAAAAGAATGTAAATGCATACTCCCACTACAGTGAAGCTTCCTCAAATTGTAACACACCCATATGAGCAGTATGCTCATGGAAGACCTTAGGCGTTACACCTTTAGTTAGGGGGTCTGCTAACATAGATTTCGTCCCTAAGTGCTCGATCGAGATATGATGATCTTTCACTCTCTCCTTCACAACTAGGAACTTAATGTCAATATGTTTTGACCTGGATGAACTCCTATTGTTGTTGGAGTATTCAACGGCTGAATTGTTGTCGCAGAAAATCTTGATGGGTTTTTCAACCATCGGAATGATTCGCAGCCCAGCGACAAAGTTCTTTAGCCAAATCGCTTGTTGTGATGCCTCAAAACACGCCACGAACTCAGCTTCCATCGTGGAACTGGTAACGAGTGTCTGTTTGGCACTGCGCCAAGCGATGGCCCCACCAGCCAACATATAAACATAGCCAGATGTAGATTTCCTACTATCTTGGCATCCTGCAAAGTCGGAGTCAGAGTATCCAACGATCTCCAATTGGTCTGGCCTCCTATATGTGAGCATGTGATTACTGGTTCTCTTCAGGTATCTCATCACCCTCTTGGCTGCCTTCCAGTGATCCAATCCAGGATTACTAAGGTATCTGCCTAACACACCGACTATGTACGCAATATCTGGACGCGTACATACTTGTGCATACATGAGGCTCCCAACTGCCGAGGCATAGGGGATTTTTTCCATCTCCTCAATTTCCAGATTTGCTTTAGGGCATTGGCTGAGACTTAATTTCTCTCCTTTAGCTATAGGGGTATCTCCCGGCTTGCATTTCTGCATGCTGAATCGCTCGAGTATTTTATCAATATAGCTCTTTTGAGATAATCCGAGAATACACCGAGATCTATCACGATATATTTGGATCCCTAATACAAAAGATGCTTCACCAAGATCTTTCATTTCAAAGTTACTCGAGAGAAATTTCTTAGTTTCGTGCAACATGCTCACATTATTTGTGGCAAGTAAAATGTCATCCACATACAAAACCAAGAAAATAAACTTGCTCCCACTGAACTTATGATAAACACAGTCATCAACCACATTCATCTCAAAACCATATGAGAGAATTACTTGATGAAACTTGTGATACCATTGTCGAGACGCTTGTTTGAGCCCATAGATGGATTTTCTTAATTTACAAACCATTTGCTTTGGATCACCGATCTCAAAAGTTTCTGGTTGTACCATATAGATCGTTTCATTAATGTCACCATTCAGAAACGCCGTCTTAACATCCATTTGATGGAGCTCTAAATCAAAGTATGCCACAAGAGCCATGATTGTCCTAAAAGAGTCCTTCGAAGAAACCGGAGAGAAAGTCTCTTTATAATCAATCCCCTTTTTCTGAGTATAGCCTTTAGCTACAAGACGTGCCTTATACCTCTCCACATTACCATTTGCATCCCGTTTGGTTTTAAAAATCCATTTGCAACCTACGGGTTTTGCACCTTCTGGCAATGGGACAAGTTCCCAAACTTTATTGTCTTGCATTGACTTGTACTCATCACGCATCGCATCAATCCATTTATCTGAATAAGGACCCTTCATGGCATGATAAATATTAATTGGATCATCCTCAGTCATGCCATCATTATCCTCATTTTCTTGAAGAAATGTCACATAATCATCTGGAATGGCATTTCTCCGTTCTCTAGTGGATCTACGCAATTGCATTGGCTCTTGAACTGTATGTTCTTGAGTTTGTTGAGTTTGTTCCATAGGTATAGGTTCCTGTTCTATGCGAACGGGTTCCTCAGTCGCACTTTGAAACTCTATGGGAGCTGGAATGACTGCTAACTCATGAGGTGTTTTATCAATCACATCAGTGATTTCTTGATCCTCAAAGGTAAAGTCTAAAACTGTATTTCTCCCCCTAAACTCAACATCCTCAAAGAACTTGGCAGTAGCCGTCTCAAAAATAGTTCTTGATGTGGGATCATAAAATTTATACCCCCTTGACCGTTCCGAGTAGCCAATAAAATAACTGCTTACTGTACGAGGTGCTAGCTTTGGTTCATTTGGTCTATAGGCCTTCGCCTCAGCTGGACAACCCCACACCCTAAGATGATTTAAGCTAGGCTTGCGCCCAATCCAGAGTTCATAGGGTGTTTTGGCAGTCGCCTTAGTTGGCACTCGATTAAGGATGTAGACTGCTGTCTTTAATGCTTCTCCCCATAATGATGGTGGCAAAGTAGATTGACTAATCATACTTCGAACCATATCCTTCAATGTGCGGTTTCGTCTCTCAGCAACACCGTTCATGCTAGGTGAACCGGGCATGGTGTATTGAGGGACGATTCCACACTCCTTAAGGAAGTCAGCAAAAGGACCTGGACGTTGTTCACCCGAGCCATCATTTCTGCCATAATATTCTCCTCCACGGTCAGATCTGACAGTCTTAATGCGTTTGCTTAGTTGATTTTCAACTTCAGCCTTAAATGCTTTGAACATGTCCAGTGCCTCAGATTTTTCCTTAATAAGGTACAGATGACCATATCGAGAATAATCGTCTATGAATGACACAAAATATTGTTGACCGTTCCACGAAGGAGTGGGAAAAGGCCCACAAATGTCTGTATGTATCAATTATAAGACATCCATAGCTCGATAAGCACCTATCCTTTTAACCTTGGTTTGTTTACCCTTAATGCAATCGACACAAACGTCAAAGTCTGAAAAATTTATGGAATTAAGGATTCCATCCTTAATGAGTCTTTCAACTCTGTTTCTTGAAATATGACCTAAACGTTTGTGCCACAATAAACTAGAGTCATGAAATTTTCGCTTAGTACCTTTTGATTCCATATTAAGTGCCTCATTATAGGAAACCAAAATATCGAGCATATATAAACTGTCATTCACCATAAAAGTACCAAAACCAACCAAACATGAATTAAAAGACAACTCAACTTTATTGTTTCCAAAAGAACAATGATAACCGAATTTGTCCAAATAAGAAACAGAAACCAAATTCCGTCTAAATGACGGTATAATAAAAGTGTCTTGCAATTCAAGAAAATGTCCAGTACTCAATAACAGCTTGAAAATGCCCACGGCTTCCACCTCTACTGAGTCCCCATTTCCAAAGTAAATGCGTCTTTCAGCATCAGTTGGGTTTCGGTAGCTCAGGCAACCCCTTCTTCACGCGCCAATCGTGAAACTTAGTACAATTCTTCTTCTCATGTCCAGGTTTCTTGCAAAAAAAGCAAGTCTTTTCAGGACGAGCCCGAGGAGCTGGAGCTGGAACATGAGCCTTAGCAGTCTCAACCTTAACGGCCTTATATTTTCTCTTCTTGCCGCCTGCATCCTTTGAGGTATCCACCACATGTACCTCTTCAGTCTTATTACGCTTCATCCTTTCTTCTTCCTCAACACAGTGAGAGATGAGCTCATTAAGAGTCCACTTCTCCTTTTGACAGTTGTAACTGACTTTAAACTGATCGTATTGAGTAGGAAGTGAGAGCAAAACCAATAGGACTAACATGTCCTCTGAAAGGTCTAACTTAAGTGCTCTCAACTTAGAAGCAGTATTAGACATGTTCAGGATGTATTCCCTTATGTTTCCTTTGCCGCTATACCTCATGGTAATGAGACTCTTCAGAAAAGTACTCATTTCCGCCTTATCGCTTTTGGTAAAGCGTTTCTCAATTTCGACAAGGAAATCATTAGCAGTAATGATATCATCAGATATCGTGCCCCTAAAGATTTCTGGAATGCTTTTCTTTATGATCATTAGACTAAGGCGATCAGACCTATCCCACTTCTCAAACAACTGCTTTTCATCTGCAGTGCTTTCTTCCGTAGGAGAAGGGGGTTGGTCTATCCTTAATGCCAAGTCTAGATCCATACAGCCCAAATGAATCAATATTGATTCTTTCCAGTGCTGATAGTTGTCCCCAGACAGTATTGGGACTGAATAGTTAGAAGATACCAAAAGATTCGATCCTGAAGATAACAAGGAATTAATATACACATAAGTACTCAAGTAGCATAATGAAACTCAAAATAAAATAATGCAATCCCATCTCAAGACACTAAACGCAACATTAATGTTTAATCTTTGGATCAATGCCATTAACTGCAAGCAGTCATCTTGTTGCAATAATCATATACGGACAATAAGGTAATGTCAAACAGTAACCAATCTTTGGACTGATTTACTATTCACATAAGTTAAATCTATATAATTGTCCCATACATATTATCGCAGATGTATATTTCATTCTGTCAATTATCGACTGCCTTTGGGCCGAAGAATAATCACATGAATTAAAATAAACATATAAACACTTACGTTATCAAGAAAAAATTTCATATAAGAGAGGTTACTTTGGCAACTTCAAATACTAGATTTTCACCGTCAAAACGCAGCAAGCATTATTAATGAGTTTCCAATTCTGAAAATTGAAATATTTGCAATATAAGCAAAATTAATTTCTGAAGATGCATACATCAATTTCATAAATAATATATTCCAAAATATTGATGATATATTTATAAACAAATAAACATGAATTCATGACATGTATTCAATGCATAAATAAATCAATAAATAAATGAATTAATGAATGTCCAGACATGCATGTACGGAGGCATATTATGAGGAAACATTACAATATATATACATACATGCTTTCAATATATTCTATTCCACAAAATAAAATTAAATAAATAACCGAGATGTCTAATCAAGATTGCATGATTAATTGTGTTTGAACACGTATGCACACATACATCATATTATATATACACATGTTGCCAAATTGCAAGTCTTTATAACATGCTAAATATGAAAATTAATAATTAAATAAATATTTGTACTTTCAAGACTCATAACCATGTAAATATATAGACATAAACACGTATGCACACACAGCATGCCTTTTATGTACTTCCAACAATTAAAACCAATTTGTTGTAAGTGGAGTAGCCCTTTACCCCTTATAAAGTAGGGGAATCCTAACATTACATCCAATGTGGAATACTTGACACCCCCCTCGAGATGGTAATCTCGAAAATCCATACAGAATCAATACCAAATACGGGCAACATGGCTCTGATACCAGTTGTTGAATATTAGATGCCCGATCCTTAAAGCGGAAGCGTACCTGATGAAGCCATATACAAATCTTGGGTGATTAAAGGTTTGGTCTTCCAAGATCAGAGAGCCGGCTTCTATTCTGTCCTTGACGGGTGAGGAGCAGAAACTGCAGGGAGAATTAGATCTCTTTTACGGCGTGCTGATCATGGGGACCTAACCCTAGCCTATTTATAATAGGGCAAACATAATTGCAATTACAATTATGCCCTTAATTAATATTATTAATTTGTCACGTCACCAAAATAATAATATTATACGGGTAGCTGCACTTTCATTCCATAACAATCAAACCTATCAGTCAATAATTAATTATATTAATTAGATCACTTAAATAATAAGACTGAATAAAATAATGACTTTAACAACATATTCGATACACATATTTGATCCCAAATCCAACAAAACACACTTAATAAATATAAATCAATTTAATTAAACTTCTAATATCTTATACGTACATCCTATTCAAAATCTCTTTATTTCTTTTCTCTCCTCAATTAACAAATATTGTTATTTATTTTTAAAACTCTCTATTTTTTATAAAACAAATTTATAATAATGATATTATTTATTTATTTATATTATATAAAATTTTATTCTCTATGAAATATATTCATATTGTATATATTTTATTGAGATATAATGTTATATTCCCTCCGTCCCACATAATTTGTCCATTCCTTTTTTGGAAATATAATTATACATTTTAATCTCATTTTAAATTTTAAATTTTATAATTTTTTTAATCTTAATTAAACTATTTAGTTATCTTAATCTTAATCCACAATTATTTTTATTATACAATAATTATTTTTACTAATACATTTCTTAATTACTTATTAATCACACTTTACCTAAATTCTCGTATCTACAGTAATAGACCCATAATACATGGGACAGAAGGAATATATTTTAAATTTTTTTTTAATTATTAAATAACTAATCTATACTACCTAAATTTTCGTGCCCAAAACAAAGGGCACTATGTTTGCCGGCAGGGGAATTATTTTTTGCTTCATTCATCCCAATTAATTGGCATAAAAGAATATTCTTCATGTGTTCACAAAGAATTCTTCATTCAAAACTAAAATAACTTTGTATTTCATCATCATATATATACATATATATATAAATCAGTTCATACCTCGAGTTCTGACTAGTTTTCCCTTTCCAACTTTCCCCAAAAGCTTCGTGAAACATGCAAAAACTGAAGAACGCTTGACATTAATTATGGAAACATTACTATGATATACAAGAAACTGGTATAGTACAGATGTGTTCGACCCAACCCCAGAACCAAAAAGTGATTTTGGCATACCTTCATAGATTAAACAAGAAATATGAAACCACACTGGCACTTAACAAGTCGGATGGCGGCCAAAATGCATCTTGAGTAATCCAGTAAATGAACAAGAAATGGTTGAACATATGGATGTCACAGAACTGCCCTTCTCCAGTGTGCTTTGTATCTTATAGTCCACAAATTTCAGATACATCATGCACTGATGAATATGTGGGATGCAGACTAGAAATGAAAAGTTCATCTATAAACGAGAGCTCGATGGTCCCTCTATTTCCAGCCGGGAATATAGTGAACACTTCCAAGGTACAACAGTCACAAAACCAAGACAGGATTGGGTTCCTTTAAGGTTTTGATTTGAGTTTTGAGTTTGGATTTTGGTTTAAATAGTGATTTGATATGATAAAATTTAGGTTCCAAATTAATGGTATCATTAATTGAACCCCTACCTGCTTTCTCGCCATTGTAGGTTCTAAACTAACAACACCGCAACCTTGGTTGCCACTTCACTACAGCTCTGTGAAATGGCAAAGATCCCAACTGAATCCAGTCCAGGCTGTTCAGAAAGCAAAAGATTCAAGGAAAAATTTTAATCTTTTGTATTTCAATATGAAATTATAATCATTTCCTAGTCTTTAGATTACAGGCAGAATATTTTTATTTTTTAAAGCATCAATAGGATTGTAATTCTAGTTAATTATGTTAAAATTCTGATTTCAATATTAGGCACATACTTAATTTCATTCTATCAATAGAGTACTATATGTATTTAACAACAAAAACAGATAATGATTTTATAACATGGTACCAAAATTAAGATTATCTGAGTTCTCCAAAATTTCTTCTAAGTTTCACCTGAAAACGCTTATGTACATCCCAAATTAGAACAATATTTAACTGCCAATGTGTTACTACTAAGTGACTCCTGAGTCCTGACCTAGGGCATAAAGTAGAGGATTAGTGTGTTGATCCCATTCAGTGTATTTTTACAGCTATAACATTATATGTACAAGCAATCATGCAGTCATGGATCATGTGATTTTTAGCGATTGTATCTCTTCAGCTTTTCTCATGTTAACTTCTAATATATCGAGAATTTAGGCTTTGTTCTTTCTATTGTTTTTTTCTGCACGTTTTCCCCAAAAAAATTAATATGCTACGCTACTCACATTCATTATTTATATATTCCCTACACAATTCCTTATACCTCACATAAAAAAATTTCCTTTTCAACAATCTCACAAAACAACCACACCCTTGGTAAGTTTCCTGTAGATTGATATCAGTCCTTTCGACAACATTTACTAAACTTAGGTGATGTTGTTATTGCTTATTCCAGCGACACTGCCATCAGAATCATCCTTAAGCAAGTCAAGAACTATTTTCTCAAGAATGCTGGCACTACTAGTTAGATGTTGGCCTTTTCCAACAATTTAGGTTGTTCTAGTATGAGTCCTATATTGTGTTATTTAAGTTGATAAGTGTCATCTTGCTCCCCATATGCATACTAGTATGTTAGAATCTAATTCGAATTGAGTATCCCCTAAATCAATTTTATTCCCATGTGTATCACTGTATTCTCACTATATGCAAGGCCTAGGAGGATTTGGTCAAGGAAATGCATATGCATATCTTACGCTCTATTTACATACACTTTTGGAACTTTTTAACACTTTCATCAACAAAATATTTTTAAGAAACATCACATTAACTACTTTGTTTCCTTTTGCAATACATCGCATTAATACCCAACTGTTTACTATTCTTAAATTTTTCCCCAAAATTTTCAAAACTTCTATCCAAATGAAATATCTTGCAGGTCTATAATAGTACCGATCATTTAGCACTTTAGTCTGCTAGGTTGGTATAAGCAGACAGGAACAATATATAGACATGAGCCTTAATCCCAAGGCTCATACACATAAACTAGACTTAAAAAAAGCACTCATCAAATCGTGGTATCCTAACCTAACATCTTGAGCCAAATGATAGACCACTTCTTAGTTAATGTAATGGGAAACAGATTATGGCTTCCAACTTCAAATTCCAATTTTACTGCTCTTACGAATAAAAATCAACAGCTGAAATAGGAAAAAATCAAATAAATAAACACTTACTGAAATTTATAAGAGTCAAACCTTCATCCACAGCATCTGAACCCAATCAACAGCAGTTCCTGTAGCTTTGAAAGGAACTCTGCCACTGCCTACCATACAGTTAAAACTCACAGTTAGTATGACCCAATAAGTCTACATACACAACAATACACGGAAAATCAGAAAGATCAGATGATGTACTCAGAAAGGTTGTTAGTATCCCTGAGAGAATGCTGAGTGGTAGTGACAGCTGACTTACAACTTCTATCTGCAGTAGGCACAGGTGCCTAAAGAAATCCCACAAGAGAGACATTTCAACAATGCTTTAAACACATGACATTTGGATGGTCCAGAAGATCCTTACTTTGCAGCTCCCGGTTCTTGTACCTTTTGTATTGAAAATCCACAGGAATGAAAGAAAACTTGATCCCCACTAACACGATAAGCCTCGCCACTTTATGGCCACCATGCAATACACTGCATCACAACAATTTGCTCTATTCTAGAATTCCTTCAGAAAGGGAACCTGCCACGGAAGCTCCTCTTTGATGTCTCTGCCAATCTTCTAACACATTTTGCATTTACATAGACTGTGTTCAACTCTTTGGCCACATCCTTGGGGTGACAACTAATATACATAGATACAAACCGCTTCTCAGTCATCCTCAATGCTGTTAACAGCTCAGGTCCCTTCATCCGAGGAGCGAGTCCCATATCCTCTATTTTACATGCTACAAGAAACCGTGGTTTCAAAACTGTCTCCAAATTGAAGTAAAGCAGATATGGGTTACTAAGTACCACACAAGCTTGTAGTCTCAGTGTGCCCATTATAAACGTCATGTTCCTCTGAATTTTATCAATGGATAGCGTTAACACCATCGGAGAACGCCCAACCAGACCAAATATATCATCCTCTGACAGCCCATATTTCTCTAAATTCATCACTTTTTCTTGAATGGTCTTTTTGCGTGATATGGCAAACAAAGAAACTACATGCTTGTACATCTTTGACTCCTTTGGGACCCCCGTTTTGCGGATGCAATCAATCTTCTCATCATCCAGATTAGTTCTTGGAATCAAAGTGGGGCGTGATAGAAGCATGGCAATCAAGTCACTTTTGCAAAGACCCAGTGTTTCATATATAGCAATGACAGGTTTCACTTTATTGTGAATATCATATGTGAGTAGAGAAGGATTCCTCACCAAAGCCTTGATTAACACTTCCCTTGAACCAAAGAGGTCTTCAAAATATTTGATGCGCTCTTCTAAACCAATGTTGATTCTACAGTTGAGAAAGCGGGGTCGGCAATGTACCATTTTCACGAGGTCCGCAGATTTAATCCCCAAATTAGAAAGTATTTCAAGCTTGGACTGAAGAATCTGAAACTCTGCCTTGCGTAAAGATGGACGTCGCTCAAATATTTTGGATATATCATTCTCACTACAACCCCAATTTCTTAAAATGTCAGTCGAGTCTTTCACCTTGTCTGTATTACAATTTAATTCCTTCTGTTCATGTATAACTTGACAAGATGTTGTGTAAAACACACTAGATTTTACTAGATAAGAAGAGGAAGGAAGAGGTGCTACTGGTAGCTTGAAAAGATTAGTAGCAATGTCCTCAGTTTTCTGAACATGATGTAGGCCCTGGAAACAGGGAAAACGGATTTATTTTGTTAATAGAGTTCTACGTAATAAACACCCAAGAATGTTGAGACAGAACAAACAGCTATGGGAATGCAGCAGCTAAGGAAAATGACTGACACACCAGGTAATCATAACATTAATCTATATCATATATACATGGAACATTCTTCCTACGTTGTAACTTTTGGAGAAAAATAGGATGCAACAATCACAAAAGGCTTCACTAAGCATCATACTAGGATGCTAAGGGTCTATAAATAATCGAACACATAAGAATATAGTCACGTCGAATCATACTGTTATATGTTGCACTGACTTGACATTGAGCAAAAGTTATCGGTGTCCAAGTATGGTGGCAGCCAAATTGAGCTGCTTGTCTTCTAACCAAAATACAAATGATCATCAACAGCCATCATCAATACAAATCATTTTCCAGCTTCAACTAACTTTCAATTTTGGCGACGGGATGAAAGCCTCTCTTCTTCACATTGCATACATAAACAACAGAGACTTCAAGTCGCCCGTTAAACAAAAAGATGAAAATTCCAGCAATCAAAGGGAGTCAATCCATAGCGTTGGCAATGAAATACGCATTGTGGTTAGATAGAAGAAAACAGAGAGAAAAAATGTTTAATTTCAGTTATAAATTCATAGTATGCCCAGCCAAATTGTGAGATCTTCAATAATACATAGACAACACATTAAACCAATTAATCGAAACAAAAACAGTAGAAACTAAATAACAACTCTAACTAACTGTAAAAGAATGACATACGGAGGGACAGGGAAAGAGGCGCAGTGGAAGTTGAAGAGAACTCACCGAGAGTAGACAAGTGAAAATGTAGGGGCTGAGGGTCAGACAGCGGGCGCCGCGGGTACAAAGGAGTTGAGGCCGCCTCATGTCATTCATCTCCTCACCTCTCCTAACCTGTCAATTAAAACACCAGGATGGGGTGGGGTTTCGACTAGGATGAACTTTGGGGTAGGGTTTCGGTTAGGAGGAAGAGAGAAAGAAATGCAGAAACACGGATAGTAGTGTGCGACGCGCGACTGCGAGGTGAGGAAGGCGGCCGGCGACTAGCGGCGATCTGCGAGGTCGAGATGCGGGAGGGAGGGAGAGCGGCGGCGATTTGCCAGTTATAGGTGGGGGAGGGCGGCTTTGAGATTGAGATTGAGATTTGAGAAGGATATGTTGAAGAGGTTTTTAAAAGTAGAATCTGTAGTAGTAGTAGTAGTTCTGAATACTACAAAATTCTACGATTTGTGTTGTGTTGTTTGTTCGAAGGACTTTGACGTTTTTTTTTTTTTTTTTTTTAACAGTTAGCTGATTTAATTAAGTGTTATCTTTTAGTGGCTTTGGATCATTTGTTCGGAAGCGAACGCTGTCATTCTTGTCTACACGATAGAAAGGCTACGCCTGGCATCACCGTCATTACAAAATTAATTTAGACTAGAGAAATTGATTTGTCAATTCTTTTCTCCGTCCTCGTTGCTTCTTCTTCCCGTTGTCATTGTCGTCCATTGTCGCTGGCGGTTGCCCATCCATTGTTGTCTATTATTCTCACAATAACAAAAAAAAATTTGTTTTTCTGTTGTCATCATCTCTTCTTCACTCTCTTTGTAGTCACGGAAAAGGTACATGTTATGTGGGTTTTTTTTTTTTTTTTAAGGACACTTAGAAAGATAAACGAGGCTCATGCTACGGAGATTGAGATGACTTACTTCAAAACTCTCTCATGATCTTATGATTAAAGAAGCCGGAGGCCGAGATAGCCTAGGATTTATTAAGCAAGATTATAAGAATTATTTACACTCAAAGAGAACAAAGTATATGAAAGTTGGTGATACCAGTGGAGAGCTTGAGTATTTGCAGAAGATGCAAAGTAAAGACTCGAATTCTTCGTATTCTATTCAAGTTGGCGAAGATGACATGATAACTAATATCTTTTGGACAGACAACAGAATAAAAGCAGATTATGTTGATTTTGAAGATGTTGTGAGTTTCGACACCACGTATAGAAAGAATAGAGAAAGTCGTCATTTTGCCTTTTTTGTTGGTGTCAATTATCATAAACAAACAATAATATTTAGTGTTTCACTTTTATACGATGAGACAATTCTATCATTTGAATGGTTGTTTGATACATTCGCAAGCACCATGGGTGGAAAAAAAAACCTATTACTATTCTGACGTATTAAGATCACGGTGAATGCATTGGCGGGAAGATAGCCCGAAACTTGTCACAGGTTATGTATTTGGCATATTTATCAAAATGATGCAATACATTTGAGTGGGGGTTTTTGAAAAGTACAAAGATTTTGCACATATTTTGGGAGATGTATTTATGATTGTGAAAATGAGAGTGAGTATTTGTACAAATGGAATGACATATTGGTGGCGTATGACATTATGGAGAACGAATGGTTGAAGAGGTTGTTTAGACTAGAAGAGAAATGGGCATTGGTATATGAATGTCAATTCTTCTATTCTCATATACAACGTAGTGAAAGTATTAATTGTGTCATTAAAGGGTATGTGAGTTCTAAGAATCCTTTTTGAGTATTTTTTGAATGGTTAAAAAATTTAATTAAGAATTGGAGTGACTGTGGGGAAACAAGGCAACATACACGTGAAGAGGAAAGACCAAAACAATGATTTGTTTCGGTAAAAGACCAAAAAGTGAATTGAAAAAAAATTCTAAGAAAAACAAAATAAACAGAAATACAATTAAATGCATTTTTAGTTTAATAAAAAAGTATATTAATTTTATTGCTTTGTTAATTACTTTTTTTATTGTAAATAATATAATTTTATTATTTCTTTCACAGCTATCCACAAATAAAACATATGTTGAGGGACCTGACAATGCATTGGGGCAAGATCAAACAGCTTCACAACATGTTTAATTATTTATTTTTACTTTACCTTATATTTTTATAGTTGTACTTTATTTCTAATCATATTTTTAACTATAGATTGAGAAACTTCATTCAATCGCAAACATAAATTCTCAATGCTCCGGTGACCCGACTTATGCTCTAAATTTTACCGAATTACTTGAGGTATTTTTTATATTACATCTCGTGGTCTAATGAAATAATTTTTTGTATTTTCACTCGAGTACTAACACTTACATCTATACAGGTTCAATCATCCCGTAGTTTTGAGTTTTTTCCATGTAATCCACTTGGAATTGCTAATGTTTCGGGAGAACACAATTATCTAATTTGGAGTGATGGACATGCATTTGAAATAATGTCTTTTGTAGTAGCATTAAAATTATTGGGTGATTTGTATATTTTGGTAAGTACTTATGTCAGTTAATATTTTTGTCTTAACTTCGTGTACCATGATTTGTGGACCTTGGGGTGATATGTAGTTTGGTAGTAATTTGCAATTTAATGGAAACCGCGTACTTTGCATCTAAAATATAATATTTGCATTTGCCTTGTAGATGTGGATTTAGTTTAAGAGAGGCCAACAAGATTATCTCATAATTTTCATTTACAGTTTCAGTTCCAGGATCATCATCATCCCATCCTCTCAAACTCATTTCAATTGTTGATTAATCATGATATGAAGTGTTGAAAATATATATGGCAGAATGTGTAGTGTTGCAGTAGATAAGATCATTTTTTGCATTTGTATCAAATATGTTACTTCAACAATTAATCAATTGCATTTGTTTCCTCTTAGATTGAACTTGCTTATTTATTTAGCAATTATGTGATATTGTAGATATTTAAAAACAAGAGAGAACTTCAACAATATTTTCATTCCAATAAAATAACAAATGCCGAAAACAATTTGAACCAACTTCTATTGCATTAATAATTTCTCATAATTGTGAGTCTACTTCAATTTCATAATCTTTACAACAATCTAGTCTAAACCTGTAACAAAAACATAACAAAGAACCACTTCTGCACATTTATACAAAGACATAGTTTTTTCACGACAATACTTTAAGGGAGATCTCAATTATTCTCATGGAATTATGCGTGTTCACACAATCGACTTGAAGATGGATTTTGCACCAATCTTTGGCAGTGGTGATCACTGATGAGCATAGCTTCAAATCCAATATCCTTCACGTCTTACCGTATTGTTTTGTATGCCAAGATGTTAGGATTATAAATGACATCGGCTTCCACTGTTGCTAAGGCCACTTCTACTCGTCATACCCCATGGAGACTTTAGAGACTGGATCCAATGTGCAAGTCATTTCATTCTGAACATGTTTTAAAAAGAAAAGAAACTGCAGTCATACATCATCATAAGAAATATTTACAGCAGCTTATAAATATTATAGTTATCTAACCAAGTAACTTCCTAAAATAATTCATGTTGCAAAATTTCTAGTAAAAAATTGGATGAACATCAGATAATTTTGTTCCACAATAAAGCAAATTTCATTCCAAACTACTATATATCACCCCCAATATCCGCAAACTAACCGTATACGAAGTTAAAACAAAAATATTAATGGGTAAAAGTATTTACCAAAAAATACAAATCACTCAATAATCATGATGCTAATACATACAGTAGATAATATTCCAAGGGTTTGTTCGAATTTTACCAAAATTCTACTATTCATCCAAAAATTTTCTCCTAAAAACATCAAATCCAACGTATATTTTTCATTTTTTATATTACACTAAAAATCAATTTTACATTCAAAATATTACATCAACACCTATTTATATTACATCATACAACTATTCAAATTCAAAATTTTTACTATTCAAATCCCAACTCAAAATCCAAACCCCCCAAACAAACACACCCCAAATGTATTTCCATCATTCCAAATAGCTACCAAAACTTGAAAAAAAATCTCCATGTAACAACACCCATTAAAATTTACAACAACAAAACTTGAAATTAATCCAACAAAATTATATTGAAAAAAAAAAAAAAAACCCAAAATATCACTATCCACCTAGGAAGAGAGCTGAATGAGCAAAGACGGGCTGTGGACAGAATATATATATATATATAACAACAAGCTAGAAAATTAGAACAAAGAACAATAAATATAATAAGACTCCGGAAAATTAGAACAAAAAAATTCTAAAATCTTACTGAACTTGTTTTTTTCTTCAAACACTAACAACCCAATTTCTAACAAATAAAGTGTACCAGTAGAAGAGAAACCAGTGACGATAAAAAGAAGCCCTAAATCAACAAAGGTGGAGAGGAAAAAGGACGACGACGGCGGCGGTGACGGACTGAACGGCGGGCGGCGAACGGCGATCACGGATGGCGATGCTCTAGTGAACAGAGGGAACGGTGGAAGAATAGCTATTTAGAGGAAATTAGAATAATGTGGATTTGGGGTCAATATGTAAAGTTTTAAAAGTTTTTTAAAATTTTTAGAAAAATAAATTAAAAAAAAATAATAAAATTAAAAGACATGCGCTTCTCCTTCCTAGTGGTAGATAGGGGCGACAACGTTTGCTTTTGGACAGGCTATCCGAAGCCCCTTTTAGTTTGATTAGTTTAATTAGATATTTGACTAGTTAATTCGCAAACTGATTAGTATTGGCTCTTCTTCTTCATAGATAAAATATAACTATATTGTATTTTTAAAATATTCAATTATATTATTTCAAGGTTCGAATTTTTTATAATTTTTATTATTGATTATAGAAAATTATAAAAATATTATTAATATATTTATTTTAGTATTTTAAGTTATTTTTATGAAAAAATATATTCTCTTCGTCCCATAAGTAAATATTCATTTGTTTTTTATACGTAATTTTAGAAATATTAGTATTATATTGGAATATTAGTAGGAATAAAGTAGAAATGACTAAAATAATATTATTAGTATGTGTGATATAAAGGTAATGACATTTGTGTAATATATTGTAAGTTGCAAGGGTATTTGTAATGTTAGGTAGATAGTACAGTTACTAAAAAAAGGAAATTGATACTTTGTTATGGGACGAACTAAAATGAAAAAAATGGATACTTTGTTATGGGACGGAGGGAGTATATATTTTTACAGAAAAATATAAAATAAATGTTTTATTAAAAAAATATAAACTATAAAAAAAATCAAATTTCTAATATATGTATTTTCATTATATTAATTATTAATTAATTTATTACTACAATTTTTGATAAATTTATTTTATTTTATTTTTTAATATAAAATATATAATAAATTAATAGTATTTATATCTTTTCTTAATTTAATAAATTAAAATATTATATATAAAATAATTAATAATTTTAATTACTTAAAAATTTAAAATTTAAAATTATAATTTATTATAAAAAATAAAAAATAAAAATATATATGTAAAGAAAATAATTAATACTAGTATTTAAGGGTAAATATGAAATTAAAATAATTCAAGTGAAAACGTTAGTGTTATAAAAGGCGTTGTATAATAATTTTTCATAAATTAGCTTTTACGGTAAAGTTACCAAATATTCAAATTAATTTTTTGACAAAGTAAAAAGATAAGCTAAAAGTTATTAAAAACCTAATTACCAAATACCCCTTCTAAAGCCATGAGACAAATTATATTGAATAATATATGACCAGTCTTAATTTTATTTATTTTTATAAAATTAATATGTTTATAAAATAGTGATATATTAATTTATAATATATTTGATTCTTGTTATATGTAGTTACTTTCTTTCAATTAAAATTATAATTCATATTTTTAAATATAAAAATAAATTTTAAAATATGATATATTTAAACATATGTGGCTTTGAAAAAAAAGTAAAAATTAATTAAAAAAAATGTTAATGTGTTATCCTATATGGCAAAAAAAATGAATATAGGTTAAAGATCGATCAAAAATTTAAATTTTTTTATTGCTATATTATTTTTTTATTGCTATATTATTTTTGTAGATATTGATTAAAATCTAAAAGTCGGTCAATTTCGTCGTTATCTTAAAAAGTCAATATTTAAAGTTGATCAAATATTACTTACAGAATAGAAGTTCGTCAAACCCGATATAAAATAATATTTAAAATTAATTTATCACCGACAACAAAAACATAATAATTTTTGTAAGTTTTGGGTGAATATAGCCCTGATTTTTTCAAATTCATCCCAAAAGAAAATGTAAAATGTTAGAATATGAAATTTAAATTCTCTATTTTAATCATAAGATATCGTACATATTTATAATGACGGACAAATCATCTAAATAATGTAAGAATCTTACAAATCTCTTAAATGGGATAACTATCATAAATATAATATATTGTTTCTAAATATATTTTAACATCTCTACTTAAACTCAAGATATGATCGAATAAACTTGAGTTTGTCAAAAGTGACCGAAAAAGATATAGTCGAGATCTTTCACGTACAAATTTGAATTCGCCAAGATTGACTGAGAGTGATGTAGTCGTCCACTAGATCAGAGTCGGAAACAGAACTCTCAACACCGTTAGAGTTGGAAACATGATTTGCTTGCTCACAACAGAACTAGAGCAAAATACAGGACTCGCTCACTCTATAAAGCTAGAGTCGAAAACAGGACTCGCTCGCTCACAACAGAGCTAGAGTCGGACACAGGACTCCCTCGCTCTCAATAGAGTTAGAGTCGAAAACAGGACTCTCAACGACGCTAGAGTCGAAAGTAGACTCTGTCAGTGGAATAGTAGAGACGGAGATGACATGAGAATAACATAATGATAATGGATAGAAGCAAATACATTAATTAAATATAAAAATATATACGGGATATAACGAGTCATGGAGGTACCCAAAGAGAATTTGACTGTGATACCATATTAGAATATAAAACTGAAATTCTCTCTTTCAATTATAAGAATTCGTACATATTTATAATGACGCACAAATCATCTAAATCATGCAAGAATCTTACAAATCTTTTAAATGATATAACTACTATAAATATAATATATTACTTCTAAATATATTTTAACATAAAAAAAAATAGAAACAATATGTATACTGTATAATAATTTATAAGTTTGTTTGTTTGGAGTCTCGATTACATCTTGCATTGTTCATCATTCATTTTTCTATCATCGAAACAATTACATAAAAAACCTATGTTTCATTATGAACATTACATCAAGAATTCAAACTTCATAATAATAATAATAATAATAATAATAATAGTAATAAATAACGTCATTTACCTATTTACATAACAATAAACAAAAAAATTCAATTCATTTTTTTATTCCTAAAATTATCCCCAAACAAACCATAGAATCTTTAAGTGATTATTTTGTTACATAGGAAGCACAAAAAAAGGTTGTAGAGCATCCATATTTCTAAGTAAATTAACAAGCTACCGATAAGAAAATGTCAATTCTCAGAATTTGAAAATATTTAAATGAAAGGTGATAATATTAATATTAGACATGTTTTTCTAGCAATTTCTATAAGCATTTTTCTCGTGTCTTTTTTGTGCAAATTGATGTGTCTTAATAATTTTGAAGTATTTCAGATACGAAAATAGACACAAATTTTACATTTCGAAAGGATGCATGTGAATTAAAAAAAATTATGTGCTAGATGGTTCATTACATAGCCGCAACGCACTGAAAGGAAAGAAGGCAAGGCCAATTGTCTCTCTATTAGAAGGAAGCCGAATTGACTAAGATTCAAATCTCAATCTGTGTCAAAAGTCATCATGACTGTTTATTACAAATTAGCATCGGTAGGATTGAGCGGTAATAAGTTAAATCATAAGCTGTCAATGACATATATTATCTTCTAAAAGTTGGGTTGGTGCCTATAAATAGAATCTAACCTAGAGTTCATTTATCAAGATCTTACAATTTCAAACTCGCATTTTGTTGGAGAAAGAGTTCAACTTGTAAGGAACTCTGGACGTTAGATGCGGCGTAGTTGACAACACTTGTGATAGAATTCGCGTGCTTGCCACCATTCCATTTCAATTATGCACTTAGGTAAATTACAAGTTTTTTTTTTTTTTTTTTTTTTTTGTTTTTTTTTTAAAGTGTAATCCGCAATTGCAATTTTTAATTCCAACAATACTTAAGTAATAAATTATCATGTTTCTCCATCACACTCTCATTCATGAATGGCATAAACTTGAGATAACAGCCGCAAAATACTTTAAGCTATTGAGACTTAAAGCGCATATAAATCACTTAACTAAATCTAATTAGATGAATTCGAAAAGAAATCACGATGGTAGGTAGACCCAAGATATTCATGAAAGAAGCTCTTTGCACGCAATTTAACTTAAAAAATATAATAAAAAAGTAGGTAGCACTATAATTAATTGATTCATCACTTGCAAGTGTCAATGAGAACGACTCGTAGGACAATGAAGTATGCATCTAATAATAGATCATCCGCTCAATAATCAATAATTAGTGTAACTCTACAGAGTACATGTAGATGGAAGAGTCCCAAAATCGCGAGGTACATTAGCAAGCAGATATCTCTCATGTTCACTCTCACGCAACACTCTAAACGCACAAAGTATATACGTACTCCCTCCGTCCCATAATAAAGTATCCATTTACTATTTACATCATTGTACTTAATATTAAAAATATCATTACATTTGTATAATTTTTTGTACAAATGTCATTATATTAGCATTATAAGACACACACAGTATATTGGATTCACCTTCACTCACATTATGAAAATTAAAATACACAATCGTGCTTATAACATGTTGTTATATTAATATAAGATTAATCAATAAAAATATTGTACACACCCAAAATTAATTGGACCGGCCCAGTACAAGTGCAGCCCAAATCATAGAGGTTCGCGCCCAGCAGATGGTCCAAATCAGCGAAGGGGCCTCCGGACCCGACTAGCCTAAGGATCCAGCTGGCCTGGTGAATTTGGAGCAGTCCAACGAAGGCAAGAATGTCACTGGTTAGAAAGTTGTTGGACCTGTTGGAAAAGATCTTATTCAAACAAATTTTAAAAAATAACTATTTAAAGAAGAGAGAGCAAAACAAAAAGAGACACCATTCACCGTGAATCTTCTTCTTCAATTTAATTTTTTCTCTGCAATTTTTTCATGGCTTTATTTTTACATTAATTTTTTATCATCGCGAGATAACCCAAATCCTTTCTTGAGGAAACCGGGGGAATCTTCAAACAAATCAATTCCAATAAGCTTTTCTGATTAAGCCGTCAGTGACAATTTTTTAACAACAACAAATATTAATTATCTCTACCGTTAATTCTTATTTTATATATTTTATATAAATATATATATATGTATGTGGCGATTTTTGTATATATATAGTATATATGTTGTGTGTTATGTATCGTGTGTGTATATATATATATATATATGGATGTATGTATGACTATTAAATGAAGTTATTGTAAATTTTTTCATTTAACTTCATATATATATATATATATATATATAAGACTACATAATTGAATAAAATAGCATACAATTTTCCATCAATTTTCCATCAATGCATCGATACTATACATATGCATTAATTAATAAAGTAGCCACGTATTGGCTACGTTTTGTATCTACACAAGCTATATAACACTTTTAAAATTGATTTTTTTTTTTGTATTTTTTATTTTTATAATAATAATTTCAATATGATGCACAATAAAAAGAAACTAATACCAAATTCTAACTCATAAACCAATTGTCGTCGCATCCCATAAGGAATAATTTAATAATATGAGAGTAAAATTATCACGATAAAATTATGAGTTTAAATCTTCGATATTTTTAAATTTTACCTGTCACACATAATTCAATTAATATAACTTATTAAGTTTACCCAGAACATAATCGACCACTAACTAAAAAAATCCCCTATTGTCCCGAGTTCTAAAATTTTCACCCAACTTGGGCCGATCCCGCCTCCATAACAGATCATCTATCAATGAGAACCTAATGTAACAAACATTAGAATAAAGCAATGTATCAGTAAATGGGCAAACAATCAATAATTAAATCTAGCAATTGAAAACCCACGAGATTATAGGGATGGCAATGGGTCGGGTCCAACCAGATCCACCCCAAATCGAACCTGATCATACCTGGATCCGATCTGAACAATATCGGACAAGACCCGATTGACCCGACAAATAATTCTTAAAATTTAACTTAAAATTTGACTCCCACCCGAACACAGACCCGACATATATTAAAATTTATATATTTTATTCAAAAATATTATAATAATAAATAAATAAATAAAACTAGAAATATATATTATTAACAATTAATTTTTTTCATATATATAATTAATATATTATATTCCTCGGATACAGTTCCATTGGATACAGATCCAAGTAAGTCCACCCTTGGACCTGAGACCCGGATCCCATAAGCGTACACAATACCCGACCCGATACCCGAATAATTAGACCTGACCCCTTGGACCCGAGATCCGGATCCTATAAGAGTATACAACACCCAACCCAGATCCGGACCCGATACCCGAATAATTAGTCCTGACCCCAATCCCAAATAAATAAGTCGAATCTCGGATCTACTGTACCCATTGCCATCCCTACATGGTCACCTTGAATAGAATTGAGTTGATTGAGGTTGGCTATACACACAATTCTGCAACTACCAACTTTTAAGGAAGAAGCATAAAGCATATCATATGCATTTGCATTTAAATAAAATAAAATAAAATAAAAATAAGTGACTACACACACACACACTCAGCTGAACAATAAATTCTTCAATAACATCATCAACACAGCAAATTTAGATTCAAACCATCAAACCTTTCACAGCAAAAACTGCAAATCTCACCCCAAGTAACAATCATACGCTAAAACTCTTACACAAACACATACACATACTCATGTAAATATATATATATATATGTATATTGCCGCAATTAGATGAAGGACCAATTCACAAACGAAAAGGCAAGGCAGTGGACAGTGGTCTCATCTGCTGCAAACACTTTCCACACGATGGCTTGCTCGAATGACACATGCCGGCCCATAGTTGATATGCAGATACCACTCGGTAGGTGCGCGAAGCCCTGTTTCACATAGGTTTTGTTTATTTTCACGTTGCACTCATTATAGAAATGCAAAATATGCTGAACTTATATGTTATATCACATGGAAATTGCGCCAACAGAGTTAGAAGTACCTGTTGCATGATCTTGGCGAACTCTGAAAACAATGCCTTACGCCCCGACTCATCAAATATCTTATCTAGCATGATGTCTTGTAGTGCAACTAGGGTAGTTTCCAGCATGTCTAAGCCTGCCTGATTTGCAAATATGAGAACCGGCATAGCCTGCTAAGGGGAATGGGCGAAAGATTAACAAAAGTTAGAAAAGGGGGGCAGCGTATAGGGAAATGACACATAGAAAACACGGGTATATAATGTGGAAGCTGATTGTGGGGCGCAATCACACAACCAATCCAAAGAACTGTGTACCTTCAATGAGCAGCATAGGATGGCATCTTGGTGATGCCAAAGTGTTTTTAACAATGATTCACTACTCTCCGAGTTTGCCTTCACCAAATCAGTTCCTGCATGATAGCTGTAAAACAATGGAGAATTAGTCCCAAAATGCAAACTCAATTGATCGAATAGGGCTGGCAAAAGCATGAATTATTTATTACTACTAAATTTGTCCATTCGCTGTTTCAGTTGCTTCCGAGTTCAACTTGATCAAGCATAAAACACTCTTGAAACACAAATCTCAACATTTCATAGAAATTCTCAATTCAGTGCAATTAAGTTTGGGGACCGTAAGTTAGAGCAGTACCTATAGCTCTGACAGATCCAATGTGCGAGAGTATGAGCTTCGGGTGATCCCTGAGATAGCTTTGGACCCATTGTAGGGCCTAATCCTGATGGGGATATGGCTGAGGCAACCCTTTGGACAGAGGAAACAACGGTGCGGACATATTGGCGTGCCATAGTTGCAACATTATCCTGTAAATTATTCTCAAAAGGGAATTGGAATGCAATTGTCAAAACTGATCGGGAATTGCAAGACAAGCCACCAGCTTCAGTGCCATTGCTGGTTTCCAGTTCAAGTGTTGATGTCAGATCTAGTGTTTTGTGTGGAGTCAATGCATTCTGCCAGTCACCCTTCACATGGATTAAATCACCATTTAGAAATTTTTTGAATTATAATGTCATCTCAGAATAGAAGCAAGAAGAGAATGTGCATATGTAATGGAGAATGGTTCCTTAACTGGTTTTGAATCAAGAGGGATTATCCGGAAACCTGAAGGGAGTAGTGGTGCGTCATCCGGAAACATCTCGTCGATTGGTGCAAAAACTAGCTCAGAGCAGGCTCCAACAGCATTCTCATCAATTCCGCTGCACATCTGCAGACAGAATATGGATTAGAAAGTGTAAATCATACATATTCAGCTTTGTTGAACGTTCATGAATTGTTCATTCTGTGAATTCACTGAATTGTGGAAGGATCCAAGAAGGAAGCACCTGTAAAAGATGAATGTCCCTTGATGCAAAGCCATCCTCATGACTAAGTGAATGTCCTTCCAATCGAACAACTTCAAGCATCTGGAGTTAAACAAATCAACCGTTAATGCAATTACATAGTTGAACTTAAAATGAAATTCAAATAATTGAACACAGAGATCACATTATTAGATTCAAGTAAAAACATATATAGATTAGTTACCTCTTCATGTTCAATTGTGTGACCAAGGGGCATGATTATCTGGCTTCCAGTAAATCTCATGGGTCTCATTCCTGGATATGAATACGTGCCTGCTTGCAAAGAAGCAGCAGCATATGCATCTATGTTGAAATCCGCCCACTCCGAGCGGTGCTCCCGCAAAAATCGAACCAACACTGCTGGAGGGACATTCTGGCAAAGAAAAACCCAACATCAGATACAAGTGTTAATCGAGGGAGAACGAACATCTGATGATCCATCAAGAGAACCTGAAGCAGCATAGATGCTTTAGCACAGAGAATGCCTCCGAGCAAAGAAAGGGCATTTAATCCAGTTGTGAGGTGCTTTGCTGAATTTATGGCAACAACTACATCTTCTGCACCATCACAGTTCAATAAGGACCACCCATCATCGTTGAATCCATTGATAGCATCATTAAAGCCTCTGTCAAAGCAGTAAATATATTAATGATCACTTGTGACACACCCTACCCACAAGCCGGCTACAAAATGCATAACAAAATTGACACTGTGGGGCCTTAGTGAGATAAACTTGAGCAAATTACCTGCTTAGTCTCTGACTAAAAGTTCGCAGAACGGCTGGTTGTCTGCCAAGGCCATACACTATCTCTCCGCTCATCTCCTGCGCAATCTGCCTGATATATCTCAGTGCCTGCACAAGTAAAGACCAGTAAAGTGTAAAGAACAAATAAGTACATCAGTGATATATCCATTGTGTTTAATTTGAAATTGTTTTAGATTCGAGTCTGGAGCCAAAAATCCGAGATATTAGAATGCACTGCGTAATGCACTCAACCATAACTGTTATAAATTTGAGTCTTTGAAACCAAAAATCCTAGACATATGAATGTGCTGTGTAAAGCACTCACTGCGATTGTGATTCTTTGTGCTACAACTTTTGATGATTTGTACAGTGGCCGTAACACCTCTGGCACACTCCATGCCTAGGAAGACAATGTAATGAATTTGTCAATCAAGCAGTATTGTATTAACTAAATTCGAGGAGTTCATAATCAACTAAGGTACCTGCAGATTAAGGTGATCTACAATGTGAATAATCGATCCTCCACCCTCACATGGACGAATTAAATATCCCGACGGAAGCATTTCAGCTCTAACAAACTGGGATGCTGCAGATTCAGTTGGCCCAGCCCCGGTACCGGAAAGTGATCTTTCGCATACCTTCACGGATTAAAGAAGATATTTTAAAATATATTGGCACTAACAAGTCTGATGGTGGGAAAAAAATCATCAGCCAAAAATCAGAAAATTAACAAGCAAAGGTTGCACATATGGTTACCACAAAACTGCCATTCTCCAGCGTGGTTGTGTATCTTATAGTCCAAAAATCCCGAGCAGGAGCCAGAGTAGTTGGCGCATATGTCTGGAAATTACAGATTTAAGTTCTGATACAAAATGTAGATGCAAACCACAAATGATAATTACGTATAACACTGTCAACCTGTGTATACAAGAGCTCGATGGTTCCTCCATTTCCAGCAGGAAACATAGTGAACACCTCAAGGCTACGGCAGTCACGGAACCAACACGGGCGATCTTTAAGGATCTCAGCAATCTGTAGAAAGATAATATATATATATATAAGGGCTTGAGAATTAGATGCCAAATTAATGATGCTGATAATGGTACCCCAACTGCTTTATCACCTTTGTAGGTTCTAAACTAACAAGACCGCAAGCTCGGGCTGCCACTCCACTACAGCTCTGTGAAATGGCAAAGATCCCAACTGAATCCGGACCAGGCTGTTCAGAAAGGAGAAGGTTTAAGATAAAATTCTAATATCTTTGCTTGATTGGATATAAAATTCTAATTATTACCTAGTTTATAGTGTACATGCAGAATATTATTACAGTGTACTTTATATGTATGTATAAATAAATTCTGGCTTTTATGCATATAATTACATTCTCATTCGATCAACAGAGTACCTTATATATATCTATATATATAAATATATATATATATATATGAACAACAAAATGTCAAAAACAGACTATAATTTTTCGCATGGCATCAAAATTATGATTATCCAATTCTTCCCCAAATATTTATCTTCAGTTCCACCTCAAAAGACTCATATTCATCCCAAAGTTGAACATTTAACTGCCAATATGTTACTACTAAGTGGCTCCTGAACTTGGACATAAAGTAGTGGATTAGTGTTTCAAACCCATTAAGCGTATTTTACGGCAGTAGGATTATTTGTGCAGTCACGAAATCAGGGATCAGATTGTGTAGAATTATTTGTCCCATCTCATCTGATAGCTAGATTTGCCTCGACTGTTTCTCTTCCTTCCACTTTTCTCATATTAAGGGATGTTACTTCAGTGGATTCATATCAGTACTCTTGACTTTGGTGATGCTGCTATTGCTTATTCCAGCCACACTGACAATCAGAGTCATTATTAAGTGACATCAAGAAATATTTTCTCAAGAATGCTCAGATTTCTCCTTCTAATACAAAGATGTTGGGATTTTCCAACAGTTTAGGTTTGAGTCCTAGATTGTGGTATTTAGGTTGAAAAGTTTCATCTTGCTCCCCATGTATATGCTAGTATTAGAATTTAATTCGAGTTGATTATCCCCCATTTCAATTGTATTTCTATGCCAGCGGAATTTGGTCAAAGAAATGCATATCTAAATATCATGTAGGCATACAGTAGTCTTGATCATCTTGCACTTTAGTCTGCTAGTTAGTATAAGTGTGACAGGAACAAAATCTAGACATGAACCTTAACCCCATGTTGGCTCATGGACACAACTAAAGACTCAAAACACTCATCAAATAATGGTATCCTAACCTCACATCTTCAGCCAAACCATGACCACTTCTCATTTAAGTTGACTTCAAACATCAAGTTCTAATTTTATTGCTCTTAGCAATAAAGATTAACAGCTGAATAGGACAAAGAATCAAATAAACATTTGATTGAAATTTATAAGAGTCAAACCTTCATCCCAGGCATCTGGACCCAATCAACAGCAGTTCCTGTAGCCTTTGAAAGGAACTCTGCCAATGTCTCCTCTGCAATAGAAAGAAGTCTGCAAAAAGCAGATACAGTTAAAATTTACAGTTAATATAATCCAGTACGTATGATACACAACAATAAAAATCGGACAGATTGGATCATGTACCCAGCAGGGTTGTTAGTGTCCCTGAGAGAATGCCGAGTTGTAGTGACAGCTGACTCACAACTTCCATCCGTAGTTGGCACAGGTGCCTAAAGAAATCCCATAAGACAAAGAAATTTCAAAAAGCTACAAGCAAAAAGAAGCCTACAACCAATCCCGCAACTTTATGATAGATTAACCAAAATGCATCTTACTACAGGAAGGAAGGTTCATTTTTTTACAACAAAAATTCATAGCATAAATCCCCAACAATGCACAAGTGTTCGTATTGCTAAAAGTGATGTTTATGCTTAACGATAGAGGAATTTGCATAGGTAAACAATATTAAACACCATGTATCCATAGTTTAGCATGTCAGGGAGGAATTGCTTACGCCGTGCAACTGCTGCCGCATGTAACCGTTCTCACACACCAGCTGCGACACCTGCTTCTGAAGGCGATCGTTTTCCTCCATTAGCAGCTTGTTCATTGCTGTCAATTTCCTGTTCACACTCTGAAGTCTAGATGATTCCTTACGCTGCTTTTCCCGACACCTACATCCATTGTAAACAGCCAATCAATTCAAGCCCATTACTGACCCACATTTGGGTTTTGTTTTGCACCCAAATCAAATCCACCTTAAAATCTGTTAATTCTAACCTAACTTACAATTTCCAAACATCCTCAAAAACATCAAGATCCTGATCAGTTAAGTCCCACAGATGTATTTGGAAAGAAACCGAAAAACCAATAACATATCAAACAACACAAACCCAAGAAAAATAATTCATCCCCAACGTAAATCATAAATATTAGAATTCAGGGACTTGAATTCACCGGCGGTTCTGAAACCAGACTTTGATCTGCTTGGGCTCAATGTTGGAGAGTATGGGGCACTCCCTAATCAGCTGCTGCCGCCGCAACGAGCTCGGCTTTGGGCACTCTGCATAGACTCTCTCCAAAGCCTCTAGCTGCTCCGCAGTGTATCGGACATACTTCCCGCCGGAATCAAGATGTTTGGTAATGCTCCCACTGCTACTCTCTCTCTCCCTGTGCTGCGGTGCCACCATAGCCATTTCTCCAACCACAATCCTTCAAACCCTTACTGACAAAGATTCCCTCAATCAGACTTTTAGAATAAAACCAATTGTTCAATGATTAGAACAATCCCACTTCCCATCCCAATCCAGTAGATGAAAATGGACGATCTGGATTGAGAAAGAAGATTCAAGAGCCCCTTCAGAAAAGCTAATAAGAAACACACTTCACCACCACTTACCTTATGGAATAAGATAAACAGCAAAAATAGCACAACGAAAGCTAAGCAGCCTTTGTTTGTATAAACCACACGCAACCCGACAAAATAATTTCTCTCTTTTTCTCTCTCTCTCTTCCTTCTGCCTTTGTTTTTCCCCCTCACAGGAAACCGCTTTCAAGTATCAATAGGTAGGAGGAATCAGAAATACTCCTACGATTAATTAATAAGCACACAATCTGAGCTTCCCGAATTTCACCCTACTTTGCTACGACGAAACCCTAATTTTTCCCACCCCAGTTTGCTCTGACTACTGTGGTCTAGAAGTCCTTCAATTTTTTTTCCCCTTTTCACCTCTGCTACTGTTGGGTTACTCCATTCAATTTACTTAGGCAATCCATCAATAGCTGCACCTAATCAATGAGATAGTATTTGATAACCAACCTGAATTGCAGAAACAAACGGTGGAAAATCAGGGTTTCTAAAAGAGGTGCGAATGGGTGTTCTCACTGAAAGTTGTCAGAGGAAGATCTAGGAGAATAAAACAGAGGAGAAGAGAACAACAGCAACAAGCCACAACCACCTTCCAGACATGGCAGTCCACGACGAAATTCCCACTGCAAATGGGGATGAGGGAAAAGGAACGCGACAAGAGAAAAAAAACACGGAGGAGAGAATTGAAGGGAAGAGTGAATGCAAACGATACACGAGCTGAGGCGCAAAAAAGGAGATCGGCGATCGCAGGAGAGGGAGACGGATTGAAGGTGGGGGAGAGAAAAAGGGGGTGGGGGTGGGTGAGGGGAGAGAGGGTGTACTGTGTACAGTGGTGGGGCGGGGAAACGCTCGGAAATCGAAAAGGACACAAGTCTTTATTTATTATGTATATATAATAAATGTAATATGTTTGCTGTAGTGTTGCTTATGTCAGTCTTTATTACTGTATCATTTTTTTTAGTAGGTTAAACTATTTTTTTTAATTCACTCACATGTCCTAAGATAAAAAAAAAAAAAATTATCTAAGTTCAAATAATAAAATTTAGGAAAAAATAGTTAAAAAACATACCCATTAATTTATTTTCTATAGAAAATTTGAAATGAAAAAAATAAAAATAAAAATGTTGTATGGTGTGTTTTCTTTTAAAAATATTATTATATTTTTTAAAAAAAATTAATATATTATTATATTTTTTTACTTTTTCTGTGTCATTAATTTCCTTTTTTACGTAATTTTAGAAATATTAATATTATATTAGGATATAGTAAAAATAAAGTAAAAATATTAAAATAACCTCATTAGTACGTGTGGTATAAAAGTAATGACATTTGTGTAATATATTGTAAGTTGTAAGGGTATTTTTAATGTTCGTAGAAAGTACAATTACTAAAAAAGAAAATAGATATTTTGTTATGAGACGAACCAAAATAGAAAAATGAATAGATTGTTAAGAGACGGATGCAGTATATCTATGTTTATTTAATGGTATTACAAAGTAATTTTAAAAAATCATAGAATATTAATTATACAAAACTCATTTTTAGTACAATCACTAAAAAAAAAAAATTGATATTTTGTTATAGGACGGACCAAAATAGAAAAATGAATATATTGTTAAGAGAGGATGTAGTATATCTATGTTTATTTAATGGTATTACAAAGTAATTTTAAAAACTCATAGAATATTAATTATACAAAAGAATATAGGGTGTGTTTGTTTGGGGGATTGGATTTAATTTCCACTATTCATTCCATTTTCTCCCAAAAACATCAAATCAAACACCTATTTTTTTTATCTTTTATATTATACTAAAAATCAATTTCACATTCAAAACATCACAACAACACCTATTTATATCACATCATACAACTATTTAAATTCAAAATTTTTACTATTTAAATCCCAACTCAAAATCCAAACCCCCAAACAAACACACCCCAAATAAGTTTTAAATATCATAAAAACGAGCATATTTTATTTGAAACACATATAACTGTATACAAAATAGTTCACAATAATTCATTTTTTAACTAAAACATTTTCTAATTCTTTTATGTCCTTTTCCACCGTCGTCTTTCTTGTTGTATCTCCTGTAAAACTTATGGTTATTACTGGCCCTAATTCTCAACGACCGGTAGGGCTGACCAGGTCATGCATGTGCTTGAGGCTGCAAAAGTTTAAGTGCTTGCGGTGGTTATACAATCTGTACCGGTTGGTCACGTGGCACATTTTTCAAAATTTGTTGACCATGTGCAATATCGGTGATTGACTATTAGTATCCTCTTAAGGTAATGCGAAAGGTACTTGTATGATTCTATTTTAAAAAATAACTTTGTTAAATAATTATATTTTGATATGTCCATGCATATCGATATATTAAAATTTTGTGCTAATAAAAATAATGAATTTAATCAATTATCCTTACTCTGGCAATTCATAATCTGCTAGCGGGTCTTCTGTAATTAAAGTAAAATATACTATTATCCATTCATATTTGTACACAAGTATAAAATTCGAATATTTAATAAGTTACAACTTACATGTTGATCATCGGTGATTTCTTGAAATACTCCTGTATACAATAAAAATTTTGTATTACATACCACAAAAATACATACTCCTGTATACAATAAAAATTTTGTATTACATACCACAAAAATACATACTCCCTTCGTCCCAATAAAGTTGTCTTGTTTTTCTATTTTTGTTCGTCCAGAAACAATTGTTTTATTTATTTATTTAGTAATTGTGGTCACCATTTTATAACAAAATTATTCATGCTTTTCCAAACTACCATATTTATTACTATAACCTATTTTTTAAAATCATTCAAAAAGCAAGAATATTTTAGTATTTACCTTCTATTTTATACCCACTTTCAATTAAATAATATTATTGTTTAATTCTCGTGTCCATTCTCAATAAAACTTCTTTTCTGGGACAGAGGAAGTATATTACAATAGTTTTCATAGGTAAAAAATTAGATCTTATCATAAAATTATGAACAGAGGTACAATTACACCATAAGAATAAAAAAAAAGAATAAAATAATATTACTAGCAATTATTATCTTTCTTTATAAATCTTTGAAAAAAATAATAAAGAAATTCTTCGAAAATTTACTAAAAGAAAAAATTACCTCTTCCAATCTTGTTATTCATATTTAAATAAGAAAATTGAAATTCTGCATAATAATAATCAATAATATAGTCAATATATATATACTTTATTGAATAAATTGATATATATACTTCTCATGAAAATAAGAACAATAAAAAAAACTAAAATTTTCACAATACCTACCAAAGACTATTGTATACAAGAAAATTAGAAAATAATTTTATTAATTTACAATTCACACAAACCTGTATATTTATAATCATACAATGCATTTTACCTTTTACTATTACAGATTACATAAAAGTGAATTCAGATTTTTTGAGATAACAAAGCATATCTCTTTCTAGTAACGGATAAAAGAAAAATAAATTACAGTTACTTTGTTTTTATCTCGATATTACATAATATTTGATCAATTGCATTGATTTTGGATTTGTGATTTTTACTATTCATAAAATAATTTCTCAAAAAATTATTAAATTAAATATTTTTTTATTACACTATAACTTAATTTACTTTCAAAATATCATGTTAGTATCTATTTACAGCACACATCAAACAATTATTTTCATTAAAAAATTTATGATTTTAACACTAAAAACTTAACCCTCAAACTTACAACCAAACAACCAATTGGAAAAAAAATAAATATTATTATCAAACAATAATTTACTTTATTTAAGATACTCCCTCCCTCGGTCTCATATCTATATATCTATTTATTTTTTGTACGAATTTTTAGAAATATTATTATTATATTATGATGTAGTATAAATAAAGTAAAAAAACTAAACTAATCTTATTAATATTGTATGATATAAAGGTAATGACATTTGTGTAATATATTATAAATGCGAATAGTATTTATAATGTTAAGTAAATAGTAGAATTGCTAAAAAATAAAATTGATAGATTGTTAAGGGACAAGCAAATAGAAAAATAATAGATTCTTAACGGACAGAGAGAGTATAAATTAATTTTATAAAAGTGGTTGAGTTTTAAATATAGATAAATATATTTAGATTTTTAGAAAATAGACGGAAGTAAAAGGGTTTGAGTGTGTCTACATAATGTGGTTTCATAGGTTATCTAGTTAATTAAGTTAGATTTATATTCGTTAAATATATTTTAATTTAGTAAATTTTACGTAATAGAAATGTGTTCAGTAAAGTAGGATGGACAAAAGTGAAAAATATGCATGAGACGGATGAAATATTTTAGTTTTAAATAGTAATATTTTGCATTGAAATAATTATTTGATCAAGTTGGATAGCATGCTGAATTTCATCATTTAGCATTGCTGAAATAAATTTTAGCTTTTGATAGCTTAATTACATAAATTACTTTTTATTTAATTAAGATAATTAGATTGTTAAGAATAATTCAGTTTTATGTTGAATTAATTAACATATCAGCATAGGATTTTAAACTCTTATTTGATGTAATATATTGATGTGGTATTTTAAATATAATATTAAATTTTAATGTACTATAAGAAATAAAAAAATATATTTAATTTTATATATATATTTTTTTAAATTAAGAATAGTAAAATCAAAATTAAAAATAAACACATAATGTTTAATTTTTTTTAGAAAAATATAATTTAGTTTTAATAAAAATTATATTAAGATTATTATTCACAAAAAAAAAGTAAAAATAAAAATTCACTAACTAAATAAGGTAATAGATTTTCTTACTATTTTAATTGAATTCTCTATTTTATGAAAAAGAAAAATAAAATTTCATTATCTAATTATAGAGAAATCTGCAAAAATAACCTCATATTTACTAAATTATTATTTTTTATTTTTTATTTATCTCGCTGCCAAAACATATTCTAAACATTTACTAAAGTCGCCAGCCATTTCTGTCCGCCGCACATAATGTTTACACAATTGTTGTCTCATGTGCGGCCAAAGGACGGAAATGACAAATTTTTTTTTTAAATTTATATAATATATTTTGTCAGTAAAATAAATAAAAGACAAAAATTATAATTTAATACATATGGAGGATAATTTTGACATTTTTCCTTCTAATTACATTTTAGGAAAAATGTTGAAGTATTTATTAATAATTAAATTAACTTCTGTTTACAGGTCTTATACAGAAGGATAAATTTAAATAATAATGATTTAATTAATAGATATGACTAAATAATATTCATTCCGTTCCACATAAAATATATTTTTTTTTTTCATTTCGGTTTTACATAATTTGTTATTTTCTTTTTTCAAAATATAATTATACACGTTAATTTATATATATTAAATTTTATAATTTATAATTTTCTTAATCTTAATTAGATTATTTAGTTATTTTAATATTAATTTATCATTATTTTTATTATACAACAATAATTTTTATTAATACACTTCACAATTACTTATTAATTATAATTTGTCAATTCCCGTATGTACATTAATATAGACATATTATCCCAAATGGGGGGAGTAATAATTTAATTTATTAAATATGTTTAAATAATATTATAAATAATATTAACCAAAATATATATCTAACTATTTCAACCATCTGTCTCAGGCTCAAGTTGGTAATGTGGAAACCAACTTAAGAAAGTAAATCCTAACAGGCAGAAACTCCGGATAGAAAATTTAAACCAAACCATTAAAAAAAAATTTGAAAACAACTTGACAGATGAATTGAAAA